CCTTTTTAACTACTCATTCACAGGTTCCAGAGCACTTCTCAGGGCAGATCTCTGTAACAGAGCATGCAGAGAGCACCTTTACCATCTTCCACAGAACCACTGCTTGCAGCAGCCGTGTTTTCACCTTGCCCACAGGGAACAAGGACCCGACGGGATGATCCGCAGCGCTCCTCAGCTTCCAGCACTGGAGAACCCTGCCCCGCTGAGCAGCCTCCCTCCACCACAAGCCCTGAGCGGGGCCCCTAACCCCGCACCCCGGTACGGGTCTCCCTCGGGCAGGCGGGGAAAGGGAGTCGCGGCCCCGGCGCCCACCTGATGTGCACGGAGCTGGCCAGGTGCGAGCAGCACTCCTCGATAGCCTTGCGCAGTCGCGACAGCGGCATGTCAGGACCCTGGGGAAGGGGAGAGCGCCATGTCGCGATATGCTGTGGCGGTCACCATCCCTCCCCCCCCCCGTCCCCAGGCCCAGGCCCCGACCTGCAGCAGCGGCAGCAGCAGCCGGTTGAGCCGGCGCCGCTCCAGCAGGCCCAGCTGCGCGCCGGCACGACCCAGCTCGCTCAGGAGCACCAGCAGCGCCATCTTATAGGGGGTGACCCAGTCCTTGATGCCGAAGACGTTGGCGTGCACCACGCCGTTCGTCATCATCGGGTTGAAGTACAGGCTCTCGTGCACGCTCGCCATGGCGGCACCCGGCACCGGCAGACCGGGAAGGCGCTCTCGCCCGCCAGCCAATCGCCGCTACCGCCGCCGTCACGTGGGTCACACCGCGCCCAATCAGAGCGGGGCTGTGCGCCGCCACAAGAAGGGCCGGTTGGCGGGATGATGCTCCGGGAGGGCGTTCCGGGGTGGAAATGGGTGCTGAGGGTAACGGGGGGCTCTGAGTGCACCGTGCGGGGCCCCTCCGAGCGGCCGCAGCCCCTTCGGGCACGCTACAGAAGGAGGAGCTATGGCCCGAGTCGGTGCGGGTTGGGCACTGCCTGCTGTCACCCACAGCCCGGCCGTGCCGCCCTCGTTACCTCAGGCCTCCATGCTGCTCCCGCCACAGCCCTGTGGGGACCGGCGGCTCGGTGGGGCCTGCACTCAAACCGCGAGGGCCTCGGTGGATGCACTGCAGCCCTCCGCGGGAGGTACGATGGTCACCGGTGGTGTCCCTGCTGTCGACCGTGTGTCCTGGTGAGGAGAACCGCAGCGAGGACATGGCGTTTCCCCATGGCCGCATGGAGGAGGCCGTGGTGGGGTTCTCTGGCCCATATGGGAGGGCTGATCTGTGCTCTCATGCAGGCATTTCCTCCATGGGATCATAGAATGGGTTGGCTGGGTTGGAAAAGACCTTAAGGTCATCTAATTCCAACCCTCTGCCATGGGCAGGGCCCACCACAGAGTGAATTGATTCCTGTTAGATTGCATTTCTTGCCCGTTAATTATGATGCAACAGGAATATTTCCACACCCAAGTTTTAATTTTCTCAAGAAGTTGTTAAAGTGCTTCATTAAGGAAACTACTCCAATTATTATAACAGTCCTCATTTTTGCAAGTGAGAGCAAAACAATGCTCAATGTTATTATACATCCGAGTGCCCCTGGGGATTCCAGTTAAGCTGCTCCTGATTCACGCCTCGGGGTGACGAGGGGAGGAGGAGGCAAATCAAGCATGGAGTAATCTTGTAGAATGCATTTACAATTCATGTTGTAGCTGGTTGTTGATGGCAGAATTAATGATAGCTTCCTAACCCTCAGTGAACTGATACTTATTGAACTACATTTGAATCTGAAACACAGGAAATGACTACTGCTGTTAAGTTATAAAGGTCATTTTACTGCCGTTTCCTGAAAATGAAGTGTGGCGGTTTGGGAGGAAGCACTGAAATGGTGGAGTGCCTTGGCAGGGAGAAGTGGGAGAGGAGGCAGCGGTTGGATGCAGCCAGCACAGGCAGAACTTGGAGGGTAAAGGAAATGACAAATACATCTGGGTCTGGTGTTCCTGTATAACGCTTTGAAACCAACGTGTGAACTCTGCTAACAGCCCTTTAACGCGTGGTACAGGGAACAGTTATGCATTTTAAGTGCTTTTAAAGCATATCTAAATAAACCCACACAGCTCAAAGCCAACCCTCCAAATAAGCAGCAGGAGATTATTTTGGTTGGTTTAAACTCAAGATTGGGTAATGCAACTGAAAAAGTCCTCTTTTATCTTTACTTAAAGTAGGCTGATGCTGATGAGTAATAAGCTTGAGCTGCTGAAACATGAAATGGCCACTGCTGGGTATGGGGACCCATGTGTTTTCGTGCAACTCTGAACCTGTTGAACCAAGCCTCGGCAGCCTGAAAACCTTCTCAAAGGTAATTCCAAAGTGATGTGCGTCTCTGGTATAAAAAGAGAATGCTATAAAGATTCTTGCTATGGGTATTAATATCCAACGTGAAATTCCCAACTAAACCCCAATAATTCATTATTATTATTATTATTGTTTAATTTTACTAAAAAAATTTGCAAGTTGTTACATTAAACCCAAAGGAATATTCTTGGTAAGAATAACTTCTGATGATGTGTAAAATCTTGGGGGATTACTGAGCTGCAGCGAGTCATTGCCACTTGTTAGTTTGTGGCAGAAGGAAATGGGACATCAGCATTAATAGATTTAAATCTTTTAATGCTTCCTTGGCACGATACAGAAGGCTCAGCCAGGGCAAGTCTTTTATTAATAGAACTTCTGCAAAGGCAACTTTTCAGCCACAGGGAAGCTGATGGAGTGTAAAAACAATCTCCACATTAGCATTAGACACAGTAATGCATTAGAAGTGCAAAAAATATCACGTTACACGTATGATTCATCAAGATCTGCCCAAATTAAGGTGGGAGTGGCAACTGCAGCTGCCAGCACAGTCACCAGATCTCAGCTCTCTCAGTCCCACGTTACTCCCTAAAACATCTGTGTTTGGGAGGATTTCTTGCTGGCAAGTCCTCAGCTGAGCTAAAGGAAACATTTTTAGGTTTCAGCTCAGTTTGGCTCCTCTGTGGGACAGAGATTTTACCCCACTTACAGTGACTGCATGAGGAGCTCTCACATTTTAGGGTTATTAACAAAAATACGTGTATGATTTGGTAGTTTAAGGGTGACTCTGAATTGACAGGTGACATAGAAGTTTCTAAAGCCAAACTGTACTGATACTCCAAGGTGTCTGTCCTGGGTTCAGTTGTAAGTTATTTTTCTCCTTCTTAGTAGCTGGCGCAGTGCTGTGTTTTCAATTTTAGTCTGAGAACGATGCTGATAACATACTGTTTTCAGTTGTTGCTAAGTAATGCTTACTCCGATCAAGGACTTTTCAGTCTCATGCTCTGCCAGTGAAGGGGGACACAAGAAGCTCAGAGGAAGCAGAGACAGGACACCTGTCCCAAAGCAGCCAAAGGGATATTCCGTACCACAGCACATCATGCCCGGTATATAAACTGGAGGGAGTTACCCAGAAGGGCCAGATCGCTGCTCTGGTCAGCCTGGTATTGGTCGGTGGGTGGGGAGCAATTGTATTGTGCATCGCTTGTGTTTATTGTTTTCTTTTTCTTTCCCCCTTTTTATATTCTCTCCCCTTGTTATTTCCCCTATCATTATTATTATTGGTGGTGGTGGTAGTAGTAGTTTTGTATTGTACCTGAGTTACTGGACTGGTTTTATCTCAGCCCATGGGATTTATATTCTTTTTTGGGGGAATAAAGGGGAGGGAGTGTGTGAGTGGCTGCGTGGCTCTGAGTAACCAGCTGGGCTTAAACCACGACAGTGCCTTAAGGCATCCTCTGCCATAAGAAATGTGGGAAACGTGCCATTGCTCATTCCAACATGGTAGTCACAAGGTTGTTCTCTCTTTTCAGCTGCTTTGCCTCAAATGACAAGTTATTGGGGGGGGGGGGGGGTGTGTGGACATTTTGTATTAAATCATGTGTAAAAGTTCACAGCCTATAAAAATCTTGCTGAGGATCAGAAGCATTTCCAAAAAGAGATGACCTGATTTCAAATTAAAATATGGTGTCAGTGCAAACCCAGAAGTTGGACTGCACAAAGTATCTGCTCTTGGTGCTACAGCAGCCAAGACTGTTCTGTTCTCGTGGCAATTACATACCACTTTTCTCTTTACTCAGTTTTTGTATCTGACTTGCTCCAGAAATAGCTCCTTCCTGCAGGAATTAGTAAAGGCTGCATGCAACCTTCTGTGCGGGTAAATTTGATTTACAGTCACAATTTATTTTCAGCCACTTTTGTCTGTTCCTCGTCTTGGCAAAGGCCTCCTTTATTCTTGGCCTTGTGCACTCTTATGTAAAGCTTTCGTGAAGGCTTGGTTGGGTTTGTATTGTGTGGCTTTCTCTAATGTAATCCTCTGGTGAAAAGCTTTCAGTTCTTACAACCTGTGGTTGTTATTTTATATATATATATATTCCATTCACAGCACTGAGATGCTAATAATGGCATCTAGAAGCTAGCTGGAGCTGGAGCTTTAAATAACAAAGCTCTTCTCTATTACTTAAAGAGTATCACCAAAAGGCTTGGTAGGAAAATCAGCACTGTGCCCTTTCGCCTACAGCACAGGGGCTTTTAATTCCACCTCTGACAATCCCTGCTTGTTTGCAGACGTGCAGAGACTTTGGAATTCTGGTGACTGCCAGACTCGACCCGAGCTCTGTGAGCAACGTGCTGGACACCATGTCAGTGCTTAGACCCCATGTCTGTCAGTGCTTAGACCCCGTGTCTGTCTGTGCCTGACCCCATGCCTGTCTGTGCCTGACCCCGTGCCTGTCTCCTCACTCAAAGCCCGCCTGGCGGGTTACAGCCACCCTGCTGGGTCGGTGTTCACAGCCCCGTTACCCCGGTAACTCCTCCCTCCCGCACCCTCCGGTCGGGTCCCTCCGTTACCCCCCTCACTCTTCTCCCGCCAACGCACAGGCGCTCCCTCTCCTCCCATTGGCTCCGCCCGCTCGCCGTCGGCGGCTGGGCAGCCAATAGCATGCGGCGCCTTGGGAAGACCCGCCCTCCGTGAGGCGGCCCGCCGTAGCGCCTCGCGGGGCGGGGGTCGGCGCCCGGGCGGACGGCGCCGGGGAGCGAGAGGCGGCGGCGGAGCGGCCATGAAGGTGAAGGGGGTGTTGCTGTGGCCGGGGCAGCGCCGTTCCCCTCGCTGCGGGGACGGAGGAGAGGGACGAACCGGCGCGGGACGGGGTCGGGACCCCGGTGGGACGGGCTGGGCCGTACCGCCCCTCCTCTCTCCCACAGGCCAGGCCGCTGCCCGGCCCCGGGCCTGCCCCGTTAGTGAGGGACCCCCGGGCCGGGCATGGCCTCGCTGAGGAGCCCCAGCGCCCTGCACTGACTCAGCAGCCGGGCAGGGCCTCCTGCTCCTGCTGCCGCCGCCCGCGGCGAGCCCCCGCCCCTGTGTGCGCGCCGCGGTCGCTTCCAAACCCCCCCACCCCGGCCGCCGCGGCTGAAGGAGCGGGACGGAGCCGGGCTCGCGGCGGTGCGTGGGGATTGGGCCTGTGAGGCGGGCGGCGGTTGGGAGCCGGCCCCCGCCCGGCCGCTGTGCGGGGAGGCCCCGCTGCGGCCACTGGTTCGGTGCCCAGAGGAGCCTCTTTCGCCTTCGAGGTGATGGTTGTGCGTTCAGGTGAGGGCTGCGGGTTGCGGTGACCGGGGATGTGCCAGTTCGGTGGGTTCCGAGGGGTGCTGCGTTCCTGAGAAAGCTTTGCTTTATCGCAGGATGGGGGTAAGGAGGAAATTTCAGCTACAAAGAGAGGAAAAACACCCCTTCTGCTGCTCTCCTCTTGGTCTGGTGGCTTTGATGGCACATTCTCCTCGGACTGGTGTGGAAGGAGCTGCGTGCAGCCTCCCAGCTTCTTGGGGTGCTGTCTTTCTGAGGGGAGAGTCTCAGCAGGTTACTGAACGTCCTTAAAGCCAAAAATGAGAGCAGAGAAGTTCCAGGGCTGTATTTTGCCTCTATGGGATGCACATAACATATGGAGAGAGAAGATAGCGGATAGCAGCGTGTGAGAACATGGAAGTGGTGCCTGATGTGGTTGGAAAGGTTTTGGTGCAGAAACGGACAAAATTTGAATTAATTCTCGAGGGAAGGAGTTTCTGTTTTAGTGTGTCTCATTTGCACCTTGTGTTGGTGCTTCTCAGCATGGTCTCATTTCTTTAGAGAGTAATACGAAGAGTCTAGACGCTGTAATTCGATTATCGGTTAATGAGACACAAGTGCATAGAAAGCATTCACAGCTGACTTAGGTTAAGGAGAAAATTAACGCTGCCACGTTGCTTACCTCTCACCTCAAAATGACTGAATGCTTGGCAGTGAGTGTGGAGAGGTTTTGATACTATCAATGTTCATTTATCCAAATAACAGTTGTCCAGAGTATCTGTTTTAGTGTTGATGGTGATGTCTGAGCACTTATTGAAGGCTCTTGGATAAAACAAGTCTAGGAAGCAGGTGTTAAACTACCAGGGAAATTGATAATTTTTAAATATTAAATAATTTACAAATACTCTGTTTTTCAGAAGTCCCTGCTTTTTAAGGTTTTAAAACTTGGTTCTCTCTTGGCTTAAATCATTGGTTTTTGGAATGTATTTCTAGAAAGAGAATAACTCTTGCCTAATAATCTAGCATAATTAAGCAGAACTTGTATAGGAAAAGTTACTATTGATCTGTTTCCACTCTTTATTATTGGAAATTGGAAACCAAGCATGGGTTTGATGATGGTTTAATGATTGCCAGAGAAGTCTGATCACATGCTGGAGAGGCTCCAAGTGCTCTGTATATCTGGAGTGCAGCCACGTGCTGGGGCTACCTGTGTCTTGGCCAGGGGTCAAGGCAGGGCCACTGGAGCTTGTCTCCCTTGAGCTCCATTTGCAGGAGGCTTGAGGAGGAGGTTTTCTCCTGTGCATGGGGTGCTCACTGCCATGGAGGTTTCTGGTCATGCCTGGCATGGATTCTGCTCTTGAAATACCTGTAAAATTAGTGAATTTAATTTGTTGCATGTATATTTGATGTTATAACTGCACAGAGTGTCATGTGATGTACCGCTTAGGAGCAAAATGACTCTGTTCGTTATTTCGCTGTATTGCAACACTTCTAATGTCAGCTTACAACAGTGAAAGTGAAATACTAGGTTTGTGTGGGTTGGAGGGATGCTTCTCATCTTCTGTACTTGAGGCACTTGCATGAAGGTGGTGGTGTAGAACACGTCTGGTCCGACGGCATTGCTCCTCACCACAAAGTGAGGACTCTTTCCTTGCCTGTTGTGCTCAGTGGTTTGAAAGGAGACATCCTGGCATAGCCCAGGATATTGTGTTATGTTCCCATAAACGAAACAGGACCGTGTTCTGTCCAGGGTAAATGTGCAACTTAATGTAGAAATTAATCCAGTTACTACAGCAATTAAAGCGCCATCATTACTGAGCTGAAGTGTTGGTTTAGGTTTTGCAGTGAGAAGTCTCAAAAAGCAATTATTTTGTGTCTTGGGAAAAAAAAAAAGATGCTTCCCTGGAATGAAAACCAGAGCAGCTCTAATCAGCATAGTTAAGAATATATATATATTCTTACATATATAATATGTATATAGTTGAAATGTTGTACCACTCAGCTTCCTTTCAGAAAGAACTTGACATGATTCTTTCAGTGAGCCACATGACAGTGATTAAACATGTGACCTGAAACAATTTGGAGTCCAAATTCCAGCTTTAGTAGAATATGCACTTTTGATAGAGAATCTAGTGCCAAAGACTTCCAAGGCTAAAAAGTAGCCATTGATTTATGTATTTAGGGGGTTTCATAGTCTTTAAGGATTGTGTGACTCAGAACTGAAGTTTAGTCAATATGGAGTAAGTTCATTTAGAGTCAAGTTCTGTTAGACATTTTGTGCTAGGGAAGGTCTTGAAGAACATTTCCCTCTCAGAGAAACTGGAGTGTAACTATTTCTAATGAGGTTTGGTTTAATACTTTCCAGTTTGAAAATCCAGAAAGGTTTTTGGTGTTTTTTTAGAGTTGTGTGTGAGTCATAGAAGAGCTGGGTTAGTTCTGCAGAGGATCCTGCAGGGGATCTGCTCTAATTATGATAAATTGCCGTGTTGCTACTTGTCATCTCATCAGGTTTTGCCCTTCACCTGTGACTAGCTGTTAGTCTTGTTCTTTGCTTCGTTGTTGCATTACCTCCTCATTCCTTACCCTTTTTGCACACAACTGTGCTAGCAAAGGAGTTATAAAAGCAAGCTCCTTGTGCCTGTGTTAGCTTCTTGGAAGCAAATCCCACCGACTTTGGCTTGCAGCTGGGAAGTGGGGATTATTGGGCTGTTTCAGCCTGGTGCTCTGGGAATTCGCACCACATGCTTCTGGGATGATGACAGATGGACTGAAGTAGCTCTTCAGTAGCAAGGCACATCTGATGTGGGCTTTCAGATATTAACTCTCTTTTTTTGCTTTGTGAATGTTTTCAGGCGGGAGCTACTTCCATGTGGGCTTCCTGCTGTGGATTGCTGAATGAAGTGATGGGGACTGGAGCGGTCCGTGGCCAGCAGGCTGGCTTTGGAGGAGGCGCTGGCCCATTCCGATTCGCACCAAACACGGACTTCTCAGCATACCCTTCCCCAGCTGCTGCAGGCACTAACATAGTTTGCAAAGCCTGTGGGCTTTCCTTTTCGGTTTTTAGGAAAAAAGTGAGTATATTTCCTATTGCATAATGTTTTTACTCATAGGAGCTGATCTGTAGGCATACTGGGAGATGAATGTGTATTCTTCTTTAGATAAAGAAACCCAGGGCAGAGAGCCAGGGAAGGGAGTAAGTGCTTTACTCTGAGTTCACAGGAAATTAATGTCAGACAGGATTAGAAGAGTCTGATGTTCATTAATCGGTGACACACAGGATCTGCTCTGACCTAAAAGTTAGAGGATTCTAATTTGTAAGATGTGTGCTTTAGCTTCAGAATCTTAAACATTAAAACAAGTCTGGTTTTGAAGAGGATACCACACATAGTGGTTGAGTACTGGAGTGAACGAACTGGGTGATGGAAAAGCTAAAAACTTCCAATGTAGAGCTTCTTTCTGTGACATACTCGTGTCATTCTGCTTGCTTCCAGACCAGGTTTAGTTCTGTTAAATGCTATTGCACTTCCGCAGCCTCTTGCTTCATTTGGAGGTGGGTTGGTGGGTTAGTAAATGAGTTTGTTAATACTGTTGCTGTGTGTGACTGCCCAGTGTGACCTAATCCCTTGCAGCTCTTTTAGATATGAAGCCTCATTCCTCAGTTTGAGTGTTCAGTTTCCCCTTCCTGTGCATCCTGTTGTTCACATGGCAAACACGTTGAATTAAGCATTATGTAGGGATGTTTTATGAAGCTAATATGAATTTACTAAGATCCTGAAAAACTTGATTTGCTCACAGAGCATGGGGTGACCATTTAAAATCACTGCTCAAAGCATTGCCTGTTCTAGCTTGTGTGTGTTGTATGAGCCTTGTGAACAAAGCTCTTGTCAGAAGTGACATTTGGGAGTACTTACCTGCCATGCAGTTCACTACATTTAAAGCTTACTTTGAGTTCTATGAATCAATTGAGGAAGCAAAGTGTTCTTTAAAGTTTGGGGATTACATTGTTTTTTACACGTGTGAATATAGCTGTGACACTCAGTGTATTCAGATGTATTTTAACATACCATGATATTAACTGGCATTTAATTTCTTTTATTGTCTAAACTACATCTGGAGTACTTCATCATTTGTTTATTCATGATGTTTTTTCACTGAACCCTCAGATATGGTTGTAGCTTACGGGAATGCTACAGAAGCAGTGGGATTTCCCTGGAACTCCTGTTTGACAAAACAACTGTTTCATGGGGCAGTTTTCTAGACTTGCATCCTAAAAATGCTCTTTGTCAAAACTGACAACGAAAAGGCTTTCAGTAAATGACATAGCCCAGAGAAGGGAAGAACAGGGTCTGCCTTTGTTACTTGTCCAGCTGAGTGGTTGTTTTCTCTTTCTCCTCAGCACGTGTGCTGTGACTGCAAGAAAGATTTTTGCTCGTTTTGCTCGGTTTCACAAGAGAACCTCAGGAGATGTTCCACTTGCCACCTGCTGCAAGAAACAGCTTTTCAGCGCCCTCAGTTAATGAGGTTGAAAGTGAAGGATCTGCGCCAGTACCTGATTCTCAGAAACATACCCACAGATACTTGCAGAGAGAAGGAAGACTTGGTGGATCTGGTGCTGTGCCACCACGGCTTAGGTTCGGAGGAGGAGATGGACGCTAGCAGCTTGCACTCGTCACGGTCACAGACTTCAGGGTTTTTTACTCATCCATTTTCTATGTCTGTATCGGTGTCATCTCAAGGAGAACTTGCAGACAGAAGTGGAAGCACAGGAAATGGAACACCTTTACGGGTACAGGAATTACTGTGTTGGGTTATGGTCTGGCGTAGCTTTTTCAGTAGGTATGCATGGCTTTAAAATAAAACGCCAATTGGTACACCTTGGGGTGGCAGGAAATATACTTTTTTCTTTTTATCTATCTCTGACCCGAAAACAGAAGATTATTAGGCAAGATTCCCAGTTGAGGTGATGGAGGTGACTTGAACAGATAATGCTTAATAGCAATTGAAACTTCAGAGTGTCCTTGTCTGTGATCAGTTTGGTACAAAGGAAGATGTTTTATAAGGGATAAAGTGGTTTTATCCTGATAAGTTTTGTTTTGTACACAGGGGCAAACAGAAACGTCTTCTGTCAATAATGAAGAAGAAGAAAGTCCAGAAGAGCAGGTGAGATGCAAACTATCCACAGAATGCATTTTTGCCTTGTGACACTATGAAGTGTTGAAGTTTCTGTCACATTTAGTACCTTGTTCTGATTAGTTAGCTGTGACTAACAACGTGTATCTGTACATAACTTGCTTTAAAAAGAATAGACCTTTAGCCAAGGTGCTGTTGCTGAATGCAGCACCACATCTGGTGCTGTGAACTTACCAGGACAGCTAAAACCATGTAACTGATGTGTTTCAGACCCCTGGACTGTCCAGAAAGCGAGCAAGGGCGTCTCTCTCTGATATTTCAAGTCTGGAAGACATTGAAGGGTTGAGTGTTCGGCAGCTGAAGGAAATACTTGCCTGTAACTTTGTCAACTACTCAGGATGCTGTGAAAAATGGGAACTCGTGGAGAAAGTGAGCAGGCTATACAGAGAGAGTGAGGAAAACCACAAAACACGTAGGTTTATGTCTTATTCTCACTTTTGTAAGATTTATTTTGGGGTCTCCAGTAGCTGGTTCTGCTAACAGAAGGATTTGGTATCTAACTTGGGTCTGCACGCCTGGGCCAACTGGAAAAGTGAGTTTTAACAATCTAGGGTTCATCTAGAGTAGTTCAGTGTGGTTCTAAGGGATTAAATGAAGCTTTCCAGGATTGTGCTGGGGTTTTAAGCCTTTTTTCCAAAGCTCAGAGATCTCAGCTTTCCCCGTGGAGGTAAAATTGCACAACTGAGAACCGGTTCCTCAGAGAACATGAAACTTGGCACCTCTGCATCCTTTACTAGGTTTCACAAGGCGTCAGTGAGAGCTGCTCCGTGGCTGCCAACAGGCCAGAGCAATTCAGGTCTTTTATTGTGCTAAGAAGTAGAAGCTACAGTGGCAAAAGTCCAAGTTCAAGTGGTTTAGTCTCTGTACACATTTTCATTAGGTGGTTCTGTGGCCGCAGCTCGGTGATGAGTGTTCTGCCCTCTCTTACACTCAACCACTGGAGTCCTTCCCTTGTGTGACTGCTGTATGTCCACAGACCGATTCATGGTCAGATGTTATATGCTGAAAAGCAACTTTTTTGGTGTCATTATCAGCTTCAAAACCACCTGCCTGGCTCCTCAATGCTGCCCCCAGCAGCTGGGCTCTGAGGAATGGGGCACTGTGGTTGGCTGGAGAACTTAACAACCCTGGGCCAATGCCCAGCCACAGACACTGCAGGGCCTGTGATAATTGAAGTAGGGCTTAAGTGAGTATCAAAACGGGGCTTAAGTAGGTGTGAGAGCATGGTTTAAGTGAGACCCTCCATTTGGTCATAGACCAGAACTGAAAACCTGCCTCAGATCAAGCTGTAAATGTCTCATTTTTATAAATTTACCTGGTTTTCTGCCGTGGTCTGATGGAACATTTGGTTGCTGCCAGGGGCTTTTGTCTATTTGCAATGAAACTTGGCAGGCTTTGTTCAGTTCTGCCACCTTCACAGCTTCCTTAGAGCAGACTAAGAAGTGGAAGCCTTATTATTATTATTATTATTATTGTGTTTAATCTTCTGAGGAAAGCATTCTGCCAGTCAGAATAAGCTCAGAAATGGAAAACCAACACGCTCTGAATGTTAATCCAGCACATTACTTCACGCTCATTATAGTCTGAATGGAAAATGGTCTCCCAGTTTAAAGAACAAATCCAAGTACTGGCTGTTCACTTTTTAGGGGGTTTCTCGTTCTTGTTTCTTCACCTTTTTTGAAGGAATATAGACTAATTCTTAGCTGTGGATTAGAAAAACCGCTGTGCCCAGGCAGCAGCACCACTGCCAAGTGCATGATCTCCCTTCTCTGTTGGGTTTCAGAGGGCGAGAAGATGCAGCTGACGGATGACGACGACAACCTGTGTCGGATCTGCATGGACGCCGTCATCGACTGTGTCCTGCTGGAGTGTGGCCACATGGTGACGTGCACCAAGTGTGGCAAGAGGATGAGCGAGTGCCCCATCTGCCGACAGTACGTTGTCCGGGCCGTGCACGTCTTCAAGTCTTAACCCCAAAGCCCAACGGTGCAGTCACCCATCCAGGATTCCTGGGGGCAGGAATGCTGAACCTTGGGGTGCGCTTCAGCTTTTCAATAAACACCATTCTGAAGATTAAGATCCTAAAGGTTTGTGAGGGATTTTTCTACAGCGTAACTGAATGCCGGGGTTGGGCAGGACAATTCCTGTGTGTACAGTAACTCGCCTTACAACCCCACACACTGTTGGATCAAACTGTTTACAGCAGTCCTTGCTCTCTTCTGAATAATGCCACCTCAAATGAACGCGTTCACGACTCAGCAAGCAGTCAGGAACACCGCTGCTTGCCTGTATTTGCGTGTGACCTTGTCTAGTGCATTAGAAGCAACAACTATCAGTTGAATATTCAGCTTTTACGTAATTATAGAATGTAAGTGCTGCGACGCTGCTCCCGCAGCAGTGGTAGCAGTGAGCTGCGCCTGTAGGAAGCACTGCCATGAACGGTACCTGCACAGAGGCCCTTAAGTAATGTCTTGCCATTACATGTGCTGTCCTGGCCCTTCCTTGGAACTGTACACGAGCCTCCATCACATTGTGGGGCACAGTCATTGTGCAGGGCTCTTCTGTGTGGTGTCCAACTGCCCATTACTAAGTGTTTTTTAGTTAGGAATAACCTATTTTTTTAAGAAGGGGGTATATAGTAACCATACTACTGTGCTCCTTAAGCCACTCATGCCTATTGTAACTATTACTCTTAAGTGTGATGATTGTACTCCATCTGTACTGTGAATACTAATCAGGGTCATGAAACTTCTTGCTGCTAACATGTGGAATGTACTCATGGTGTTACTGACCTTAAACAGGCGGTCGTTGTTCAGGGGAAGGGGGATGTGGTATTTGTTTGAAACCTCGCATTCACAGGCTTTAACCAGGGCTGTGTCACCAACAACCACGCTTCCCCTCGGCTGCTGACTCCTGGTGTTGCTGTCAGCCCTTGGCTCTGGTCCCAGCTGGGCTCTGTGCCATCAGCAGAGGTAAGGCTCCGCTCGGAGCAGGGGTTTAAGTGTCCTGGAGGATATGGAGAAACTTGCTTGTGTTCTAAGGACAGGATGCTGCAGCCAGTCATGGCCGTGGCTGCCTTTAAGTTCACTGTAAAAACCCAGTGGAGGCAAAGCAGGGATGTGGATTTTCCAGGCAGTTCCTTTAAGCAGGGCTGCTCAGTGAAGCTGCAGCTTCTCCTTTCGATTTCCTGTGTGGCAGCAAAGTAACAGAGCCAGGGCCCTGGGGAACTCGCAGCTCTGCCAGGCCTGCTCCCATCTTTGATGTGAAGTTACGCTGGCTTGAGACAGCAGCTCCTCAGAATAGCAGAGAGCTTGCACCCGCTGTGGGTTATTGTTCAGAAGGGAGCAAACCTCTCACTGGCTTTGTTTTCTAGCAGTAACTTTTTAATGGCACCGAGTGCCCGGAGCCTGTGTTCAGCAGGGGGGGCAGTGAGGAAACCCCCTCTCTGTAACCTCCGTGCTCATCATTTGCCACACAAGGGTAATAAAGATTTGTGATGGGCGTTCTCAGCCTCTGCCTCTTTCCTCAGCTGCTCTCGGGGGCTCGGCTCAAGCTTTAACCTTGTTCTTGTGCTGTCAGTGCTCCTAGAGGTACAGGACAGGGCTCAAGCGCTGTGAACACGCTACCTGGAACACACCAAGCGGATCGAGACCAGGAGCACTCATGGATCCCCCCACGCAGCTCCCCCCTTGTGCCACGGAACAGAAACCCGCAGAGCCAGCACCTGTTTTTGTACAATTGTTTATACAAATTCAACAAAGGTAAAACTGCATCAGGAAGGTCTACGAAAACAACACCGTACAACAATGGCACTTATGAATGCAGAAGTTTACAATCAGGAAATAACCATGTTATAAACCTTAAATGAGAACTCAACTCACACTTCAAAGAAAGAGAGACTACGTTTGACCATTTATTCTACCGCTGGACTCACTGTATAAATTAATTCCATATTGAGTACAAGAGCTCATGCTACAGAGTGAAACCCTCCTATGTGCAAAAGCTGAAATTGGAATCCTTTAAAATTTTGAGAAAAAAGGTGATTTCTATACAGATAAAAGTGGTTTTTTTTTTTTACTTCAACTATAATTTACACCTTATTTCCACAACATGCTTATGTCACTTCTGAAGTATACAAAGCAGGATATAAACTTCCATTAAAACATGCTTGAAGGTTGAAAGTATGAACCTACTTTTTCCTGACCTGGGCACGGCTGTAGATAGATACTGTCTACGAAGTATAGGTTAAGTTCTCGCCTACCATAAGTAAAGATAAAAATTGGCAATCAAAACCGAAACACTGGTAATGCATTCAAACATTGCATAAATAATTTTTAAACAATTTTTGTACAAAAATAGTTCTGCATAATGTAAGATGTAACAAAACAAAACGTGGGGGAGAAGGCAGAGAGAGCTGTAGTGCGTGGGCCGCTGTCATGACACCGACTTCTCGTTTTTGTGGTGGTTGTTTTAAGAAATGAAAAGCAGAAATCAAATTTACACTACCAAGCACATGCTGTGGTACTTTAAATAACAGTATTTCATGGAGCTCGGTCGTCTTCCGGGTGTGAACAACTCTCACCAGTAACAGTCGCCTTATGAATTTGCATAAGAGCCAGTGCAGGACACCCCAGGGAGACCGAGTTCACCAGTGGCACAAGTTGAACTTCGTAACGTGGGTAGTTTCACGTTGTTCTCAACAGGAGGTGTAAAATCCCATCGCGGTATTTTCCAATATTCCAAGTTCCCAATTGAAAATAAAATCCCTACGTGTGTTCAGTCCCGTCCCCCCCCAGCCCCAGTATTTACACGTGTCCTTTAACTAACTCAGTTTTTGCAGGAGTTTTTCTTCCACTTGCCCAAACTGAACACTTACTGACATCTCTGCGATGAACTGCTCGCAGCCTTCCTTCGTCACTTGCTTGCAGTACCTCAGGTCGATCTGGCAGATGTTTCCGCAGCGTTTGAAGTAAGACAGGCACTGGTCAGTCACCTTATTGCAGTCTGCGGAGGGGACACACAAAATCAAGGGGGGGAAGTTCATGGGGTGTCTGGGTTTGGTCCCCAGCATCAGGATGGTTTGTCCTGGTTGCAGTGGGAAAAGGGATTTCCCTTCTCCAATCCCTGTCACTCAAGGCCAAGGGGCGATTCAGGTTTGATATAAGGCAGAAGCTCTTCCCTGCGAGGGTGCTGAGGCGCTGGCACAGGGTGCCCAGAGAAGCTGTGGCTGCCCCATCCCTGGCAGTGCTCAAGGCCAGGTTGGACACAGGGGCTTGGAGCAAGCTGCTCCAGTGGAAGGGGTCCCTGCCCGTGGCAGGGGTTGGAACTGGATGATCTCAAGGTCCTTTCCAACCCAAACCCTTCTGTGATTCCATGATTCCCATCCTCCTCCCCTGTGCTCCCGCCTCTCACCTGACAAATTGATTTCCGTTAAAGAATCCCGCGTGGTGGTCCCGACCGCGGTCAGCAGGTTGATGGACTGATCCGTCACGTGGTTACAGTAACTGAGGTTGAGTTTGGAGAGCAGAGGCATGTGCCTGATGATGAGCCGCAGGGAAGCGTCTGTGATATCCAGGCCAGCCAAGCGCAGCTCCACGATGTTCCGTAGCTTACTGCGGTTGTCGATCTGACCTGGGAAGCGGAAGCAGACGGTCACTCCCGTGAGTCTTCCCTCCACCCCGTGAGCTGCCAACATCTGTATGAAATGCACCGTGACACAACAACACTGCTGCCCTAAGTCAACTTCAGGCGCTTTTGCCTGTCTGGAGTTTCGGAGGGGACGTCAGCAGGAACACTTTGTCTATGTTTGGAACAGGCACGTGGGCAAAGCCAGCTCCTGATTCCAGAACAAAAAGGGATGAATGTAACCGCAGGGGCCCAGCGGAATTGCACGTCGGGAATAAGCGGTAGGCTGTGCAGTGCATGCCAGAAAGCAGATCTGATTTGCTCAAAATTTCACCTGAGCTGACATCCGGGCGAATGTGGCATGCCCCACAGAACTGCTCCTTCCCTGAACTGGGAGGAAGGGTTTCCATACTCTCTAAAGTACACCCGCTGCAGCCTGAAGAGAAGAAAGTCAGACAGAAAACCAGCGCAGTGGCTCAGACTGTTCAGCAGGCAGAGAACACCACTCGTCACCCATCCAGCGAGGAGGTGTTGAAAGTCACTCCTGTGAACACCCTGAAGCCCAGAACCCCTCCGGCTGTAGCCGTGGGGGTTTCTGCCCATTTCCTCTAAGGGCACTTAGCAGCAGTGACTGGGACAGGTCCCCTGGCTCCTCCCGCCTGTTACCTGGCCGGTTGTCTGTGGGCGGTGACAAGAGGTCTCTCATTTGTGCGTCTTTCAGTCCTTCTGCCCACTGCACGTCCAGAGTTCGGAGTAAAGGACAACTGGAACTACAAAGTGCTGACACTGCTATCCACGAGCACCCTGATAACAGCAGGTCTCGAAGACCTGTGGATACAGAAGACGTTGGAGCACAGGGAGACATCCACCACAGTGATCTCTGCTCCCATGGGCAGGAGCGGGGATTGAACAATCCCAGCGCTCCAGGGCACCCGTAAGCCTCCTCCCTGCCTAGCTCTCCATCCCTCCCACCACCTAGAACTTCATTACTGTGGGTGACAGCAGGACCACCCCCCACCCCTCTGCTAAACCCCTCAGCACAGGCACCTTCCACAGCAACATTCATTAGCCCTTGTCAAAGACCTGCCTCAAATTAGTTCATCCAACAAGTCCCAACAACCAAGTTTGAGCCCATTTTAACCCACCAAGGCTTCACTGCTACAGGTCTCCTCCCCTAGGATACCTGGATCCCTGCAGACACTCCTCAGGGAACTGCAGTTCAGATAAAACTGGTTTGCTAAACTGGGTGGTCCAAATAAGCATCACTTACCTGGCAGTCTGTTGATGAGCCAGCTCAGCTGCTTTTTAGATATATTTGTCCAGCTAAGATCAAGGGTTACAGGCTGTCTCCTAATAATGCCGCTGAGCATAAGTGGAGTGATGGATTTACAATGGTTTAAATCTATTTTGGTCCATAATCTTTTGTCACAGCACCTACCCAAAAAGAACAGAAA